CCACACGTCTTCAAGTTGCTAAGGTTGAGAAACACTGCTTTAAACAATCTCAGACTTAGTCCTGGCCCCAGTGTGGTCCCTGGTAGGATATTCCAGTCTTGGTGTTCCTGGTTGGGAACTGGGAAAAGTTGTGACTGCTGATCTCATCTATATACTGTATATTTCCTACCCCAGAAACGTGCCCGTTTTCTTCCGGTCTAGATGAATTTCTCTCCTCTCCCCAGCCTTGGAAAGTATGGCTGTAGCTTAGCCAGAAAAAGAGAGCCTATAGCAAAGGTTATCAGTGCTCCCAGGGGATTGGAAGAGCCTCCTTAGCCAGATATAACGTATCTGTCTTAAGAACCTTGAGCGGCAAGTTAAAAGGATGGCCCAAACTCACTCGATGCTTTTCATCTTGAAGGAACGTTGCTCAAAATATTGGAGATGGCACACCCAGGTGGAAGGAGCACCCCGGGAGAAACTTCAAACCTTAGTTCACGGGATGGCAAGTCCCGACGCCATCAGATGGGACTTGCGGCCGAGCTCACAAATTAGGCGAACCCCTGGCATGCGGTGTGAAGTTTCACGCCACAAGCTGGGCTCAAGCCAAAGAAATCATGCCGTGAAACCGACCTACTTGCCTGCAACGGACAATGCCAAGAGGCCGGTGAGAGACTTAAATCCCAGGGAGACGGTGTGATGGAGCTCGGAGAGCGCGTTTGCCACAACCAGGACCAGAAGCAGGGCGCGGGGCGGGCCAGGGATCTGCAGGAAAGTCATGATGAGCGCGGCCAAGAGGAAGTAGGTGCCATGCACGACACAGGTGTAGACGGAACTCAAGCTGAACCCTGCAAACCAGGAGATGCAACTTTTTCACCAGGGGTTGGAGTTTATGGGTGCTGCTTAATATCACAGAAAGATACCTGAGGGGCCGTCCCACCCGTTCAGGCAAAGGGGGCACGTTGCGGGTCCCGTCAGCGAGAGAATGTCGACGGGGGGGCGGCCAGGAGGAGAGCCCCCCCTGCCGTTGCTCCCGCCCTTCGGAACCTTCTCCCCCCGGAGGTGCGGCAGGCCCCTACTCCACCGGCCGTCCAGAAAGAATGAAAGACCTGCCTCTGCCAGCTTGCATGGGGCGAGAAGAGTTTTAATCAATCCTGGGGGCGGCTGGCACCCTGATGGCACTCCCTGAGCTATTCGTCAGTTCCATCACTCTTGGAATTTATTATTTAAGACTGTTTTTATCTTGTATCTTAACTGATTTTCTCTCCTCTGTAAACCACCCAGAGTTACTTTTTACCGAGATAGGTGGTGACAAATATGACATATTAATACAGACACAAAAATCAGGAAAATACAGCAAACTAAAGCCAACGGGATGAAGAGCGTCTCACATATTTTCCCATCCCACAAATTCCCTTCGCAACAGGTAGAAGAGGCAATAAGGCAATATTTTACCTATCGTTAAGAGCCATTTATTTCACAGGATCTCAGAAATGGGAAAGCTGGTTTGGTGCAGATACAATGCAAAATTTGACAGGGAAATGTATTTGCAGCTTTGAAAATATTTGAAGAATGTTGGAAATTAAAGTATTTTGGTGTCTAACTGCCCTTAACTAATTCAATCCTTTTTTTTTTTTTTCCATCTAAGGAGCACTTTCAACAAAGAAATGTCAAGAAATGCCAACAAGCAGATGTCATGTAGATCAGTGTTTTTCAAACTTGGCAACTTTGAGATCTGTGGGCTTCAACTCCCAGAATT